CAGCTGAGTGGAATCACTGGTTGTAAAGAGATGCCCTGAGTTGCGGTCTTTAGCATTGATTTCAATGTGTTGCAAATCTCCAGTTATTTGCAATGCTTTGCCAATCTGTCTAAGAGAGGTTGCAATCTATTTAGTCATTGTGTAATTGAAAACGGTCGCCCAGTGGTTGCAACACCCTCAGTCTAAACCAGCAACAGCAGAAAACGCAATACAAATGTCGGGGAACTGCTGATTTTTTCTAGTCACGAAGAGGTTGCCGTGCTCTGCTGTGCCTGAGCCATTAGTGCCTGAACCTAACCCAGATAATAAGTCCAAAACATAATGGTCCAAAGGAAATGTGAACCACAGTCTCATAGCAGATAACCTTATGTCACCAGCACCTCTCCAGCCTCCTGAAGTGCATTTTGTAAGTCTCTAAAATTGGGCCATAAAATACCTCATGCATAATGATGAAACGCAAATAGCATCTGACGCAACGTGATTATGTAAATTCCCTGGTGAGAATGCATTATTTGACCTATAGTCTTAGCTAGTTGGTTAGCACAGTTGCCTTACACGCCTAATAATCTACCCCTAGTGGTGGTACCTAGTATAAACAGGAGGGTTTTGTCCCCTCTACTGTGGTGACCAACTGGGAAATAAGGATATGTACCTTAAATAGACAATAGAAAGAAAATACTTTCTACCTAAAAGTGCTCTGAACAAGGTTTCTGTATTTTTATGTCATGGTTTCTGCAAAGGAGCTACCCCTATAATTGGAGCTCCACTGACCTTACACAATATCTCCTTTTCAGGTCTTAAAGGGTAATACTTCATATGTGAGAAACCCTCTAAAAATCCTTTTGTTCGTCCAAATGATGTGTTGCATGACTAAGTTCACTTGGAGTTTGAAGCAGAAATACTTGAGTCAACCAGACTTCTGTTCCTCACGCCTTATCTTTCATTCAGGCCAACAGCATGAGACTACATTACAAGCATTACATTTATAAACTTGTAGCAACCAAATTACATTATTTGTCATGTGGGCGTCCATCTATAATATAGTGTGTGTGTGTGTGTGTGTGTGTTGTGTAATATAAAAGTTGCATTGATTTTTATTCATTTATGTGAGTGGCAGCTTTTAGCTTTGCATAATTGAATTAACATCATGAGAATCGTGTCTGGATGAGAAATTCTTCTAATGATAACAGAAAAGCAGCTTTATGTTTGCATGTCAGAATCTTAATGCGCACTTTGCAGGGAAAAAAACATCAGTGATTAGCAGAGCCCGAAATGTGCCACTCACAGAGCTGAGCAGACCTAATAATCTACTGCGTTTCTCTATTTTGCAACACTGAGGCAACGATTTGAAAAGCATTTCTTTTCCAGAAGGGTTAAATGTTAGACCTGCAGAGCAAATCTGCTCTTAAGATTCTGCGTGTTGCAAAGGATGTGATTTTTCAGATTTTGCACCCCTGAACGAGTCGTGCAAACGGCAACTGTTTCAGCTGTGATTCTCGTTTGCTTCGGCACGTTAATTCATTCAGCACAGAAAAACACTTCCTCTGTGCAATGAAAGGTGCCAATGTTCTCAGTGTGATTGCGTCAGTAACCACTCCTTCCACACACGCACAAATACACACAAACACTGTCTTTAAACACATTACAGGAGTTACTCATAGAGCAAGTCGGCCGGCACCAAACAGCCGCCCCTAAACAAGACTTTGTATTATTAAAAAATGATATAAACACTTGACGGTGTGTCTCACACAATGAAAGCTCAATCCCAGAGCTGGGGACGCACACTTACCCCTCAGGTGTGTCTAAATACAATCAAATAAAACACAACAAACCCCAAAATAACATATGTAATATTAGGCGTGGACGGTGTCCTCGGTATAAATCTAATAATTTTCTAAACAAAATCTGTCTGAGAGGCCATTTCCTCATGAGAGTAAACTCACCGGCCTACTCTAACCTCACTTCACAGCGCATCATGTTTCCAAAAAAACAGCATCAACAGCACTCATCAGCAAATAACAAAGTACATTATACAACAGCTTCAAGCGTGGAGGAGCTCGCTGCGATCCAATTTAAAGTGTGGAGGGAAAAAAAACATGATTAACAAGGGCAGAAAAACAGCAAAACAAGCCCGGACCCATGAGGGACGATACAGCAGTACAGTGGTTATGCGATTGGTGATTAGCAGGTAAAGTTATGATTCACTTACTTAAATTAGCTCCCTCAAAGGCGACCCCATGGGAACTGACAAGAAGGGTGGGATGAAAGCTGAAGTGGTGCTAATCAACTGAAGTCTGGAGACCGGTAAGATCTGGCTCTGTAGATGGACGGGAAGCTTAAAGTTAAGTGTTCTTAATGTAACCTCTTGACCCCTCTTATAGGCCACTGCAGAGGCGCCGACAGTGACTGACAGATTGCGCATGGTGCTAATTATTAAGGCTATATGAGCATGTGAAATAATGACTCGGATCAGGGATGTTAGTCCCAAAAGAGTGATTAGATATTCAAGGTTTTCATGGTCTAGGCACTCCTCCTTCCTGCTTAAATGTTCACTTTCCTCCTTGTGCGCCTGTGTACACGTTATGAGGCCCGTGAAGACAATCCCGACTGCCTTTCAGCACGATGTCCCTGCCCACTCTTGAGAGAATCCTTTAAATATTCACTCTATGCAAAAACATTTTGTGTTTGTCATAAAGGAAAGACAAACGACTTCAAACTACAATATAATTTAATCCAAACACATCCCGAATGAATAAAGATGAGCAGCCTGCTGTGTTACTCTTAGTTAGTCTGCAACATTTTTGTGGGAATATCAAGCTGTTATAGTTTAATATGGAATTGTGAGTACATGATGGGAGATTTAGCAATTTTTTCCGATCTTTCGATGTTAAAAAAAATCCTTAACAAAGTTTGTTGTTACAGAGATCTGGGTTGTTTTTGGCACCCATACGTCAAAATTTGGGGTTATTAAATTGAAGTTCCACGTTGTCTTCTTCAATTGTAGCTATTTTCTCAGAAGTTAAAAATTTGAGATTTGACCTAATTGCATAATAACCAGACATTTTAACTTTTGGATAGTAAAAGTAATTAAAAAAAATTAAAAATCAGGCTTTGATGGTCTTGACCTCAAAAGTTAATCACTGTGAAGCTGAACCAAATCACACCCGGGGTAAACTTTTCATACAAATCCATACAAAAAACTTTGAGTAAATTTGCTAACAAACACACCAAAAACAAACCACAAGGACCAAAACAAAAATTATTTTTAAAGGGTTGTGCATTGACCCTGCACAGAGGACACAGTGCTTTTCCGCTGTCTACATGCTGCATCTTTGCACTGTCACCAGGGGTGCCCATGATCTCCATCAGGCTAAGAGATTTTTTCTCCATTTCTTGGTTGTTTTATTTTTCGAGGGCTTTTTGGGCTCCATGCAAGCATGTCTGCAACGGTTGCATATCCATAAACATTTACTCAAGCCAGCTGAATAGCTACACAAACAAACAAAAATGCAATACCATGAATTCCACCTCAGGGGGTAGATTTAGAGGCACAAACACACACATAAGAGTCAAGTCTTGGATCCTGTTCAAGTTTCACATTCCTTCATTTTTCACTTTATGCTTTGGTGGGATTTATACACCAAAAGCTCTTGGTTAGAACAGCATTTTCTCCAACTTTAATTAAACACCTCTTACAAATCTCCATTTTCTTGGTTTCCGCTGTGCCATTTCCATCTCATGTGCAGGAGTCACATCAGCCCACATTCATACAACCAGGAGCTTAAACACAAGTATCTGTGTCTTTATACCAGGCTGGATGGATCCTGGTCAGCTAGCTTGTCCATTACTTTGCTTCAGATTCAAATTTTAAGCCCTTTCAGTTTGGCGAACCACTGACTTAAGCATCAGCAATGGGTCAAAATCTTTTCTATCTACAAAATAGACAAAAAAATGTGATACTGACGGTTTACTTCAGTGATGAGTGTGCTTTGCAGTTAAACAGCCACATTTATTTTGGAGACATCAGCATGAAACTTGATAGATTTCTTTCCCCAGTTCACACTCTAGCTTACTATTACAGTCAAATTCTGTTTGGAGAGGCATGGGTGAAGTTCTGCTGTGAGATTTTTCTTAACCCGTGGCTGTTTTTCCGTGACTTTTTCCATTTTTCTCGAACACATTAACGAACCACGAAGAACAGCTACATCCATACGCAAGTGTTTCTATTCCACGAGAAAAGGGCAAGTCTTTGTTTTCCTTTTCACCTCCTTCTCTCATTTGTCTTTACTTAGCCGATGCGCACTGTTTGTATTTCACAGCCAGAAATGCTCCACAGACTGCTTCTACAATCCAGTGAGCACACATCCCCCTTCAGCACCAACAGAAAGGAGAAAGAAAAGCGTGGCTTTGCGAGAACAGCTTGCATATTTTCAGTCTGAAAATGTCTGAAATTCCCAAATATTCTCGCAGGGTTTTAAGAGGATAGTTATGCCTGCAGTGAAAATATATAGAAGGCTGTGCAGAATTTACTGTTTTCCATAACTCTCCTAAGTAGCAATATAGAGTAAGAAAAGCAGATTTTACAACCACTGGCCAACAGATGTAGTCTACACTTTGCTGACCGCGTTGAGCACGGAGCACGGAGCTGAAGTTGAAGCTTGCCTGCGGCCAGGGGCATCGCTCTTTGTGGTGCTGATGTTGCCAGAGAAGCGAGCACACGCGTCTCCTTTAAGGAGAGCTACGCATCAGCTGTAGGCAAATAAATTGCGCGTATAATAAATAAACACAGTTGTATGCTGTATTTTTAAAAAATACATCTTAAATCCCCGTTTTTCTTTTCTTTTTTTTTACACGAGGCGATCAGCGCGATGACCAAAACATGGCTGTGGTGTTAGACATGCAGTTTGCTCTCTATCTCCAGCACACACACACACACGCACACACACTATGTCCGTCACATGAAAGCCTTTGCACGGTTTGCATAAAAGAAGACAACTCACGCGCTCCCGCTGATCGATCCGTGGATGCCATCGCTGGAGAGAGTGGGAGGCAAGGGGACAGCAGCCCCTGGAAAGGCGTCCTGTTTCACGGTGTGTCCGGTGCCGCTGGCCGCTCCTGTAGTCCTCCTCCTCCCGTGCTCCTGTGCGCCTGTGGCAGGGATAAGCACGTCTCCCGTAGCTGCTACTGTGCAGGACTGAGCATCACATCGCGCACCGTGGAGCTCCACTAGTGTGGGATGATGATGTCGCGGGAATAGCAGCGTTAGTTTCTCCTTTTAACGAGAACATCTATGTCTCCTGCCTGAGTCACCCTGCATTTTAGAGGGAGAGCTAAGAATCTGACAGCAAACTGAGGCAAACACGAGCGTTATAACACTTCGACCCTGTAGTCCAGACGCATTAAGTCCTTACAGAGTCCCCAAACAGCAGAAGGGGATGAGATAAAAGCAGCACATAACGGGACTGAAGTGTTATTTATAGCGCATGCTTTTCTTTTTTTTTTGCAAACAATTCAACAGCTTACATTTAAAGCCACATGGCTCCTTCAATGGCTACATCCTCTATACATGAAAACTATTCACACCTTCTGTTTTCAGGGCTGTGAAGAAAAAAAACGCTGCTTGAACTGGCACTGGTGCCAACTAAGCTAAATGAAGTGTCAGGCACTGGAAACACAATTTCAAATCCAGGTCTCTGTCTGATTGCTGCGTCTTTTACATCTTTGACCCTCATATAGATAATTTGGGTCAGTGTCCCACTTCTGAAATGGGCATAACCTCTGCCAAGAATGAGAAAGTGCTGTTTCATTTGCACGTCTTAATTCGGACTTCCAGCAGTAAATCGTTTATAAAATTGTCTTTGAGTGCACAAAACGCTTTGTGGTCCACTTAAAAATTGATGTGTGCTTTGCAGGCTTAGGTTTTTATGTTATTGGCGAGTCCTGTGTAAAAATGTAAATAATCATAGAATGCAAAGATATACTAACTGAAAATGTTGCAAAGACAATGTGTCAGATGTTGAAACTAACAAATGACATGATTTTTGTGCTCATGTTCAATTTGATACCTGAAAAACATTTCAAAGTTGCAGCAGAGCAAGTTTACCACCGCGTTGCATCACCTCGTCTTTTAATGATCCCCTGTGTAAGAGTTTGTGAACTTGGAACATTATTGTACTTTTCAAAGACACTGTTTCCTATTATTACTTGATATAAGTTTTCATCACAGTTAAAGGCCTCCTGTGTCATATTTTGAAACAAAATATTTCATAATGTGCGGCATGATTTCAGTGAGTGGCAGGATTGGACTGCAGGCAGGCTACATAAGCACTTTTTCACCCTGTAATGTTTAAGGAATGTAGTTTGGCTTTATCTCCATGAAATAGTCCTTGAGCAAAATAATACATTGTTTTCATAGTTGAATATCCATCCATTCGCTTCCGCTTATCCTTTTCAGGGTCGCGGGGGGCGCTGGAGCCTATCCCAGCTGTCATAGGGCGAGAGGCGGGGTACACCCTGGACAGGTCGCCAGTCTGTCGCAGGGCCAACACACAGAGACAGACAACCATTCGCACTCACATTCACTCGCACATTCACACCTAGTGGCAATTTGGATTATCCAATTAACCTATCCCCACAAGCTGCATGTCTTTGGACGGTGGGAGGAAGCCGGAGTACCAAACACGGGGAGAACATGCAAACTCCACACAGAAAGACCCCGGCCTGATGGTGGAATTGAACTCAGGACCTTCTTGCTGTGCTGCAACAGTGCTAACCACCGTGCCACCGTGCTGCCTATAGTTGAATATATTACTCCAAAATCTGTATCCAGCCCTCCCTCACTCCTTTTTATCCAGTTCATGTTTGGAGTGGGGCTGGAGCCTATCCCAGCTGTCATAGGGTGGGAGGCTAGGTACACATAAAGACTCAGTCATTCGCGCTCACGTTCATGTTCAGTGGACATTTGTGTCTTTGGAATGTGGGAGGAAGCCACAGGGAAGTGCAGGACCTGGCAACCACTGCACCACCATGCCGCCCAGAATTTTGTGGTGTGGTGGTTACCTATGCTGTGTGCACTAATGCCACTTCATTACTATCACAGACAATGCGCCCAGTCTTTGCGCTCACAACATGTTCTGTGGGGTCTTTCCTCTTCAGCCTGAAGGGTAGGACGTCCCTGATTTCCAAACAGCACATCAGACTCAGATCTCTCAGACAAAAAGCAGTTCATGCTAACTGTGTTCAGTGACAGTAGTTTCCACAAGTGTTCCTGAGCCCATACAGTGATTCGCACTACAGAACCACATCTGTACTCAATGAAGATGTTTGCTATTCAGTATTGGTTTTCATCCTTTCAGAGGTTTCTGTGGATTCTCTGAATCTTTTAATATTATGTAGACACAGATGATGAAATCCCCAAGTTCACCTTATCTAGCTTTTGCTTGTGAACTCTTTGTCCATGCAGAACGATGAACACTTTGCAATCTTTACTTCTGAAGGTTCAGCCTCACAGGGGAAATTTCATAGTTTCAGTAATTGATTTGTGGGTTTTGAGACCATCTAGTATTAAAGAATGCTTTGAGTGATTTGCGAATCATTGCTGTGTATGCATTTACATTTTACAGTAATCTGACTGTTATGGTGCTAGCACGCCTACCGTGTTTTGTGTTGGAGGCGTGTCCTTTCCACCGACTCTGATGTCACCCCTTTTCCCTGCAAAGCCAGTGCACAGCTGACTCCACTCAGCAATCAGCACTGAGTATGAAAGCTTGGGAAAGGAGCTGACCAGCCCCAGTGGGCAAGCTTCAGTAGTGTTGAGTGTCTGTGGTCTTCTTCTAGCAAGTGTAGGGTTGTTGTTTTTTTACAGGGAGGAAAAAGCTTTAATTAAATCTCCTTCCTTTCAGCCTTCATTTAGAGTTTGCTGTCATCTCTCTTTTGTCTTCGGTTTTTCATAAACGTAGTGTCTTATCTGTCTAAGCTAAACCTTTTAAACAGAATCTTCACATTATTTCTGAATCTACCTCCTGCAACTCATTTTCCCTCTCTCTCACCCTTGTTATAGTGACTCCTCTCATGAAACACTCACATATTTGGAAATGTGGTGATAAGAAAACAATAAAATCACATTTTCTCAAGTCTGTGGTTATGTCACAATGTTTTACATTCACACAAAATAAAGAAAAGACCATCTTGAAGCCTACCTTGAAGATGCTGTTAGAAAGATGTCCGCTCTTTAATGACTCAAATTGACTGATTAGCTAATCTGCATGTCAATACACAGCCTACTCATGCCTGCACGCTGTTGCTTAGCATTTCATGCAGGATGGCTAAAAAAGCTCCAGCTGAAATTCTGAATCTCATCATGCTCTCTCTTCAGGTCAGCACTGTTTCGTAAACCCTGAGCGTGCGTGAAATACGGCCTTTTCTGACATTCTCCCAGGATGTATTGCCTAAGTTTCTTGCAGGAATAGATGTGAGTGATGGATTCTTGATGGATCCCCGCAGGCTTGGGCTTCTGGGATCAAAAAACTGTCTCTTTCATGTGTTTTTTTAATGTTGTGTGAGAGGGTTCTTATCGCACCATTTCACAACTCTCTCCTTATACTCATAGGGCGCTATTCTTGTGCATTAAGCCCAAGATAGCTGCATCTTCTGAGAATTTGATGACACAATTATCCCGGTTCGTGCTTCTGCAGTAACTCGAGCAGGCACACAAGAGCAAACACTGAGAGGAGACAATCGTAGCTCTAATGTAGCATGTGGATGTGTTTTGATTGACAATCACACTGAGAGCTTTTTCATCTGGGCAAGGTTTTTCCAAGAAGCTCTGGAAAACTCTGGAAAACCTGATCGCAATTATAGACATTCATATGTATTGACTATATACAGGTTCTTCAATTGTGCGCTAATGTTTCCAACTCTGGTTTTTAAAAGCAGGAATTTATTGAGGCAGAGATCTGACTCCTTGTTACCTTTGTGGAGAAGTGCCTTTTAATAATTGTTTGCATGATTTCGGTTTCTTCCTACACATTTTACGTCAGTGAAGATGGGCAGAAGAAGAAAGCTTCCAGGTCACATTTCATCAGAGAAGCTGCATTTGCTTGGTTGAATCTGTCAGTGTGCAGCCGATTACAGTAGTCTTGGTGACTCAAAGGTAGAGAGTGCAAAGATTATTCTCTCCCTGAGTGTGCATATTTCATAAAATAAATAGTACGCTTCTTGATGCTGTTCATGTAATATATAGCTCTTACACTGACCAGCCACTTCAATAAATCCACTTGCCTAATACTGTATAGGTCAGAGCATCGATGACCTGTAAGGATGTTTGTAATTCATCCATTGTCCCAGTAGGTCTGCTTGACATTAAGGCCAAGACAGCACCGCAGGCTTTTTGTCACATTCCTTGAGTTCAGTTTTTGGTTCTAAGTGGATGCTCTGGTGCACACAGGGCAGGAGATTGATATTCATTGGTCACACGTCTGTAACAGCCTCACAGCCACAGTGCACCAGTGCACGCATTAATGACATAGTCCCGTCATCCCCTTGCTTTGGGAACGGTTATGATTGATACTCACAGGTGTAAAAGCTACAGACAGGGGGGTTAAAAGAGAAAAATAGAGCTGTGGTTATATTCAGTCCAGATTATTGGAGATAAAGTATCGGAATTTCAGGAGCAGGACCACGCCTCCAAACACGCTCCGTCCAGTTCTTATCTATATATGTTCTCCCAGTTCTACAAGCTGTTCATTCTCGTTTCCCACCTTTCGTCCCCTTTTCAATTCTTTAACTTCTTCACTTCTATTTAGTACATGGAGATCTGCCAGGTCTGGGAGC